TTATCTGCCACGCGGCCAGAAAGGGAGATTTTGGAGACAACAATCTCTTTTTGGCACCCCTAGTGGGACCCACTGTGGGCTTTCACAAGTTTGTTGATCATATTCTCTATTACTAGATTGTGCCACCATGGCAAGTCCTTATTTTGATGATTGCCAAAAGCTCTTCATCGCTCCGCCACAAGCTTCCTCTTATGTCAATCCACTTTATGATGAGAAGGCAACAGCTAACAGTGAGTCTTCCAAATCACTTGCTGAAAGGATAGCTGATTTTGTTGAGGAATCTAAAAGGCTTCATGAGGAACACATGAGGAGGTTGGATGAAAAGTTGAAAGGATACAAATTAAATCTTCCAGAACTTAAAACCCCTCAACCCAAAAGTGAGGTTTTAATGGAGGATTCAAAGAAGTGCCATGTAGCCGTGTCTCCAAGAACTTTGAAGCAGTTTTGCAAATCGTAAAACGTGACAGAGATGCCAATTGTAAATGAAGGTCAGACGACACTAAGGTCAAAGAGTAACCCCATGATCACAGTCGGGAGCATGAATCACAATTGCAGCGTGCTGTCTAAAGTCAACAACGCCATGCAGCTTTGGAGGCGACTTCAACAAGTATGCCTCCAAGTCATTCTAAGTCTGCAAAGACTAATACTAGCCATAGTCCTCTTACTCCTAGGAGGCATAAACCAACTCAGGTGCAGACATGTCAACCATCGATCAATGAAGGTCCATCTTATGGCCGACAAAAAGTTGATGCTGCTACACAAAAGCCAACACTTTGGCCAGCATCAGTACATAAATATGATAAGGTATCTACCTCATATACTTCTACTTCTTTTAAGACTAACAAGCATGTTTCTTCTGCCTTGCTTAAGAAGTGTTCGCGGCGACCATGCTTTCTTAATGGTCAAAGCCCTTCCAAGTTCAATTATGGACAATGGCTGAAGGTGAAATATCCTTTTAAAGTCGTTAGTTTGAAGAGGGGAGTCATTTCCAGTCTCAAGGGGCAACCTAGTCAAATTGAACAACAAAGGTTGCAAGACCTTATTGTTAATGAAGTTCACACAGCTACAACTAAAAAGGCAACAAGGTTTGTGCCGTTGCAGCCTAATGCCAATTCAAGCATCCAATCAATGCCGCCACAGCAAAAGCATGTGTACAAGCCTAGTCCACATCAACAGTTTGCAGACTCATTGCACAAGGCCACTCAGGTGGCATGCAGGCCACCATGTTGTCCAACATGCCATAGGCTATATTCAAAAAATAATGATTCTTTCCAAAGTGGCTTTCACAAAAAATTCTCAGATTTTCCTTGCAGCCACAAGGATAACATGGGAGGTGGCATAAGAAACACCATGCCTTCACATCTGCCAAGCCGAAGAAGGAGGAAGAAATCTAAATACCTCTGTTGGACACTAATGAAAGAACAAAAGCAACGAACCCATGTCTTTGAGTGGAGGCACGGGGGGCATGATCTTGTACACAAGCATGGAGGCATGTGCAAATGCTACCTCTATAGACAAAGTCAATTTCGACATGATCACCATATAAACCTGGTGGCCCACCCAGAGTTCCCTACCCAAAATCTTAGAACTCTTCGGAGGCGACTTCAGAAGAAAAGAGCTAAAGAGTGTCAGAGGCATGTTGTTGCCAAGGTGCATGCTTCCCAATGGCAACAACCTCCAAGGAGGCAAAAGTTTATTTGGGTGGAGAAGAAAAAACACAATGCAGCTTCTCAAGAGGCAAATCAAAATTTAGTCAATGCAATCGTGTCTCCAAAGACGTCTGCCAAGCATGTTCCTTTCAAGTCGAGTGACTCAAAGGCAGCTAAGGAGTTTAATGTCAGTAACAAAACAATTAGCCTTGGTGAGTTTATTATTGAACTTCCAAGTTCCATTCCAAATCTCCCTTTTGTTTTCACAAGGAAGCAAGATGCAGCCTCTAGTAGCACAGAGGCAGTAAAGAACAAAGCAAACATGTTTGCCAAAGAAAACAAAAGGAGGAATCATAAAAATGATGCTGCAACCTTTGTTCCAAGAGGAGGCATGTTGCTGTCAGTTAAAAGCATGTCACCGAGGAGACATTCTGCCAACAATATGAAATCTTTGCAAAAGCACAAGGTATTCGATGAAGGCATATACTGGCTACAAAACCTTGACGGTAGTTTGCAACTCTCAAAAATAAATGGCTTACCTTTTCAGCCATGTTGCCCTTCGGTCTGTAAGTCATGCAGTAGATCGAAGTGGAAATAATCTCTTTGCCAAAGTCAGGTTTGGGTGGAGATCAGCTTTAATTTAGTTTTTGTTTTTAATTTTCTACAATTAGTGTGAATAATCTTGTAATTGAGCGGCTTTAAGGAAGGCTGTGAGATGGCATTGCTTTTAAGACATGCTTTCTATGGAGGCCTGCTTCATTTATGTTTCTAAGTCAACCAGAAAGCAAATTCATGGAATTGTTCTTTTTGGAGGCTATATTTTTCCATTTTTACGGACACACTTTTAGTTGGCTTATTTCTCTATGAAGCCGTTGTGTTTGCCAAATGATATTTTATGCTATGCTGAAGAAAACAACAATCTCAAATTTCTACGTTCTTGGAGACATCCTGCTTCCTTTACAATGGCCACATGGTGAGGAGTACTAGGAACAAAATTTTCAAAAACTTGATTCCACTTCCATGAAGTCATGCAACCAAGTTTTGGGGGGCATTGTTTACACCCATTTTTGCAAAAAAATAGAATGGTGCCACGTGTCATTCATGTTGACAAGAATTTCATTGGTTGAAAGCAGTTGGAATAAATCTCTCTGGATAAAGTTGAGTGGTTATTTCCACAACTACAGCAAAGCCGTTCGTTTGTTGCGAACTTCCAAGAGGATAATCGGCAACACAAACAGACTAATCTGTTTGTTTCAGATATCACGCTGCCATTGGTTTTTCAAGATTGCTCTGCAAATCTCCAAGCATGCTGCCAAGGGGTGTTTATTGCT